TACTATTAACTTAAGACTTTTGCAAGAATGAATTGCATCTCTGATGATGTCCTTCATATGGTGGGCAAAAGCACAGCCCTGTTTGATGCAAAACAAGGGAGAATTTCTCGTGGACACCGTCACACTGATCGTTATAGTCTCGGTTCTCTATAAACGAAAAATAATGAACGTTGTCTTAAAGACAAATGACTACAGAATAATGGGAATCGGCCATAGATCTCTTCATCATGCAATTTTATGCAAAATGAAAGTCTCCACAATTAGCCTTGTTTTGTCGACTAATGGTGCCTTCTTCAGCGTCTGTGGACCTTTTGGGGATTTACCTGATGGAAGAAGATATGGTCGCATTAGCAGAAGTCTTGGTAGGAGTACGCACTTTTATACGGAAGAAAAGTCTCCACAGCAATGTTATCTTAAGCGATTCATCGAAATCCATCAACTCTTCGTATCTGACATGGATTGATAGTGACTTAATGCCGAGTAGTTACAAATATTCTTTTGCTGAAGGATAATTGAAACACCCTTCCCTTAATTCTTCACTTTTTCTAAGTCCAAATAACCCTCTTCAATAATTAATAATTTCTTATTAATCCAAAAAAAGGAAAGCAAATTAATTATTTCACAAATTCTACATATGCATTCAAGGCGGAATTCAGAAATTGTAATTTAAAGGCCTGCTTTTTATATCAACTAAATTATGGATACCTGCTTGCCATGCAGTCTCATATTGACGGAATTTCTTTTATGAGTCCTCTTTTGTCCGATTATTGGTACTCTTCGCCCTTATCGCCAAATTTTTTAAACTACTTTTGTGATCTATTTAACCGTTCTAGCACAAAACCTTATGCTACTGACTGTACAAGAATATTTTTTGCCCAGTTTACAACATCTTATTCATTTAGTTCGTTCACTTGGGCTACATTTTCCCCTCCAGATACGAGTGGATAAGGCCGTCGGTGCTCTTGTGGAGACCTCGGTAAATGGACTGCTTGCTGCTGAGTCGTCTTCCCTGAATTTCTCGTCATCCCTACAGCCACGCTTCAAAGCACATGGGGGCAGTGTAGATGAGTCACTTGCCCTACAAAACGTGCAAGCGCGTACCCGCATGGTCCTGTCTTATCTAATCGCCCAGTTGACGCCATGGTGTGAGCAGTTGCCAGATGATCTGCTTTCTTCTCGTTTAAGGCTAGGCCCTAGAAAGCGTGGTAACCTGTTGATGCTGAGTAGTGCCAATTTGGACGAAACTCTACTCGGATACCTGACCAAGTTAGTTTCGTTTGACCTTTTGTCAACTCTTCTGCGGTTTGGCATATATTAAATACATATACATGATCGAACATTATAACACGCAAATAGGTTCCGACACTAATCTCTTTATACCACAAAAGTACAACATTTAGAGGTAATTCAATTAGCTTTCTTTATTTGTTGGCTTCAATATGTTTGTAAGAATGATACTCTGAGACGAAAAATTAGCTCTTCATATCAGAATCGGAGGAGAGTAAATATCAGATCTATTTACTTTATATCTTTAAGGTGTTTTATTTTCCCACATTTACATGAGTGCGTCCTGTGTTTCCGTTAAATTTTACGTTGCCTTATTTCCCAAAAGGTATTCTCATTCAGGCTGGATTGCAGTTTCGATCTCGCCCAAGTCTCAGCATCAAAAGCGGGACACGAACCGTGATAGTGCAGTGTCTAATTACAATTCGTTAGCCACTACGCCATACTTCCACAAATCTAATTAATGGAAACTTAAGGCCTATTCATATTATTATAGAAAATTCAACTACCAGTCCTCCATTACCATAAACAAAGTAGGTAGTCTGGAAAGCCTACCTATAAGACGAAAAATATGTAATATATTTCATGTGTATTCACCATATTTCGTCTAAGTAGATAAGGTGACTAGTAGTTGAATTTTTCCACTATCATATTAATAGGCCTTACATTTCCTTTGACTTTCACATAGCCTTGATTTCCCAAAAGGGTGTTCTTATCCAGGATGGACTGTAGCTTTGAGCTCACCAAGATTTTATCAACATTCCCTGCGTAAGTCAGACCATGACAGTACAGAATTTAAGCTCGACATGTTAACTACTACGCCGTATTGCCATGAATGCCCTTGGGACTCAGGAAAAATGTGAATTCTAAAGAAGGCCAAGCATTTTCTCTTAGCATATTCTGTGTTGGAGTAGTCAAAGAAGAAAAGTTTTTCGATCGTAATTATGAAAAGAAAGTTTTCAAAAGTTATGAAGAAAAGTTTTTTTTGCTATAGCAATCGACCACATAACTTATATTTCCTTTATGATTTGGTTTTCCGAGACTTTCAGTAAATCATATATATGAGCCTAGATATGAAGACCAACCGCTGTGGCATCAGTCCTCACCCCTATTTTTTGTCCTACCTTCTAGTGTCTCAACTCTTTCTCTCAACCAAACTTCATATGGCCCTTTTACCTATTC